TGGCCCTTGGCAACATGTTTCTCACCTTCATCACCTCTTCTCATCTCACCCGTTCCAACGACACGCCCGACGCCCCCAAAAACGCTTCTCACGACCCCCTGGCGGCCCGGAAGGCAGCCAGCACACGCTACGCTATTTCATGTTCATACTTTCAGCTTTCCCCCTTCCGACAACTTCAAGCTCGCTTCCCAGTTCTCGATTATGGGCTATCCCCTGCTATCAGATATCAGCTATCAGTCGTTCGCCAGCCGCACATCGGCCCGTTTCAGGTCTCAGGTTTTCATTCCGGCTTTCCGTTTCTTTCAGTTTTCCGATTCTGCGTCTGTTTCTGCTCGACATCGACAACGGAACACGATTCCCAGGCTCTCGGCCACAAAATTCCCCGGTCCACGTTACCGTTCCTCTCAGTTTCAGTTTTCATCCGGCAACGATTCCAGGCTTCTTCAACCAGCTTCTCAACCTTTTCCATCTTCACGGTCTCTCCCCCTGGTCCCCGCTACCCCCCTCCTCCCCTCCCGCGTCAAGCCGCTCCCACGGACAGGCCCGGTCGGGCCCCGTTGCGGAAGCCAGAAGGTGCCTCTGGAGGAAAGGCACGCAACCCCACTTCAATCCAATTTCTGTACATGGCCACTCTGTCCTTCGAAGCGCTGTAGTGTAATACCATCGTGTGATCTAGATCCTCTTCCTCTCCTCTTGCATCGTTCTGCCTTCTGCTTTCTTTCGGTCTGGGGCCGCCGTGCCTGGCCTGGGCGTGCGCTGGGCAGAGGCTGCTGCTCGTTCGGCGCGGGGGGCCTGGCGGCTGGGAACCGGAGCAGGGGCACTTCCTCCCAATGCGGCGGGGCCTGATGCTCGACCTTGTAGCACGGGCTGACCGCCGGGGCTGCCGTGTCAGGCACTCATAGGCACTCAGCCCAGTGTGGCGCCTCTTCCTCATCCTCATCGGTAACATTCCTCCCCCCGGCACTGGCGGTCCGCCAACTTCGGCAGGACGATGTCCTTTGTCCCCCCTGGTCTGGGCTTGCCTGATATGTCCGCTCGGTAACCTTCGACGCCTCCAGGGCAGAGCCGCCGGATTAGGTTAGCTAGAGGGGTCAAATGTTTTCGGCAAGGCGATCGGATGCCGCTGTGCCTGGGTGCGGGGATATCAACTGGGACTGAGGCCCGCCGGTCGATACGATGAGGATCGGCAGATGACAGGAAGGCAGGGTTTGATTCTGATTATCTCGATCATTATCATCTGATATTGATGTTGATAATGACAATGACAATGGGACTTCGGGAGGCGCTCGGCCTGCGCCTGGGCCAGGGTTCGGGCCTGGCCGCTGGCCGCTGTTCGCATGGTGCTTTCCCACGTTCGGTGACTGCTTAACTGGGGCTGCGCAGCACACTCGAGCTTACGCGCGGGCCGGCGCACAGGCCGGTCCACTGGAAGAAGGGAAAGAATAGATTGACACGGATAAAGAGACTAGACGGTATGCCAACGGGAAGAGGAAGGGCGATGTGCGGCTGCGACTGGCGCGGACTGGATGGAGGAGCAGGCAAACGGATAAAAGAGGAAAGGAGGGGGATATGACAGCGTTCGTCAAAGTGCGTGAATGGCCAAAAAACGAGCAAACCGCGGCCCGCCCGGCCCTCCCATCGGCAGATCATCGTCCCCCCGGGCCCGTTCTAAAGTCAAGAGAAACAGCTCGGACGCCATATATGCATATACGCGCTGTGCGGCGCGCTCAGCAGCATGAGCTGCCCGCCTGTGCGCCGACGGCCTGCCCCTGCGTCACCTTGACGCCGCCCTTGCCGCCCGCTGCGCCTGCGGGGGTCGATGTCGAGCCCATCCGGTCCTTGATCTGCTTCGCCATGGTTAGGAACGCCTGCTCGACGTTGGTCGCGTTCTTGGCCGAGGTCTCGAGGAAGGGGATGCCGAGCTGGTCGGCAAACTCCTACAAATTTTGACGCGTCAACGGGGTAACGTGAAACGCGGAAGGAACGAGACGCACCTTTGCAACCGTGTACTCGACAACCTTCTTGTTCGTCAGATCGGACTTGTTGCCGACGAGCAGCTTGTTCACGCCCTCGGACGCGAAGCGGTCAATCTCCTGCAGCCATTGCTTGACGTTGGTGAAGGTGTCTGTATACACGGTCAAATTGTGTTCAACGTCAATGCGGACATTCCTCACCATTATCTGTTACGTCGTAGACAACAATGATGCCGTGTGCGCCGCGGTAGTACGAAGCGGTGATCGTACGGAAACGCTCCTGACCTGGGGCGTGTGTCAGTGCCGAGTCACGGTTCTACGTGTCAATACCGCGCACCTGCTGTATCCCACTACAAACGAGGACAAATCGACCGTCAGCATCATGTACAACGCATATATGCCAGCAAGCATAATCGCTGGCAACACGTCGCGAGCCATGCCGTTCGCCACGAATAGGGGAAGTGGAGACGCACGATTTGGAGCTTGACGGTCTTTCCCTCGAGCTCAATTGTCCTGATCTTAAAGTCGACGCCGATGGTAGAGATGTAGCTCTCGGTGTAGGTGTCGTCTGCGAACCGGAGGAGGAGGCAGGACTTGCCGACACCCGAGTCGCCGATGAGGAGAAGCTTGAAGAGATAGTCGTATTCGGATGCGTGCATGATGAAGTAGTGTTACTGAGAGATTAATAGAGATAAGCAAGCTGGTCGGGAATCGCGCGGTGGATATATGCGACTGACAGAGAAGAGTAAGTAGTAAGGATAGAAGGCCAACAAGTAGACGCTGGCTGTATTGGTGGAGCGATGCTGAGAGGGATAAGGCACTTACGACGCGATGATGCACTGCACCCGGCCACAGTTCCACGCCTCATCCCCCCTTTCATCAACCCGGCATTTACCGCCGGGTGGCGAAGCACTCCACTGCTTCCGCCCGGACACGTGCACAGCCGCACCTTGGCACCCCTCGGACCACCGAGTCGCCACGCACCCGCGCTTGATTCTCTCCGAGGCGCATATATCAAGCTTTCTTTGTCGAAGAAGCATCACATGCGCTAAATCTGCCGACCGTCTCCCTTTATTCATTTCCAGGTGGTCTCCTAGTACTTTCACGTCGACCGGACCCTGCCTGGATTGCTGTCGCCAACGCCAGCGCACTGGCCTCGATATTGGCGGTCTCTTCCCGAACTTGAGGGGGCTCCACGCCCTTACTCCCAAAGGTGCCTCTGAAAGACCCATCTGCCTCCTCCCAGTCGACTTCTGAACAAGGGCGACTTTCCACACCTTCGATCCCGACCCAGCAGAAGTTCACTGGCCTTCTGCGCTAGAACGTCCGCCACCGTCGCCACTCCCCACTGGCTTTTTCCGACTATATAACCCTGTGACATGGGCCATATCGACTCCTCCTTGCAAGATTCCTCCGCCACAGTACACGCCACGGCTGAGCGTGCAAGTATGCCGGCCTCCATCTATGCGCTCCCGACGGAGCTGATCGGGGAGATCCTCGAAGCATGGCAGGCGCTCGACCCTTCCGCCCCTGAAAGCGCGGTATGCGTATGCCGTTCCTGGCGCTCGATCGCCCTCAGCATGTCGACCCTCTGGCGCGTGCTGACGCTCGGCTCGGCCGGCATCAAAGTGCCGCTCTGGCACACGCGGTCGCACGGGCGCATCGAGCACCTGCGCCTGCTGGCCAATGCCATCCCGAGATACTTTCCCATGTTTGGCACGCTCCTGGACAGCGCACAACTCGCACGTCTCTGCTCACTCGAGTGCCGCCTGCCAGAATGGCTCCGGTACGACGTCCTGCGGCGCATGCCACAACTCCGCAACTTACGTGTCGTCATCACCGGCAACCCGGTAACCCTAGTCTGGGAAGTGCTCGCCTCCCTCGAGAGCCTGCGTATACTCGACCTGGTCAACGCCTACCCACAAGACGACCGGCCACTGCCGTTCCCGAAGTTGCGTGTAGTGCGGCTGCAATGCCACGAGGGTGCGCATCTTTTGCGCTTTCTGCTGAAAACGTGCAGTGGACTTCCCCTGGAGGAAGCCGCCCTCTCCTTGCGGCAGGCGGGCGACAAGGCCATTACGCACCCGAACGAGCGGGACCTCGTCAACCTCGGCAGCGCACGCTGCGACTACGAGTCGCTGCGGCATCTACGCTTAGAAGGCAAGATGGACTGGCATCTCCTGACCAGCCGACTGTATCTGCCCGACCTCCGCACCATTGTGATGAACAACTTTCCGAGTCCGTCCGCTGCGGCATGCTTTGGCGACCTGCGGCCGCTCGAAGCGCCTATCCGCTCGCTCACGATATCCACTCACGACCACCTTGCCATCGAGGAAGGCCTCTCCATTCTTATCCAGTTGGAAGGCGTCCCAACGCTCGAGCATCTACGCATAACTGGCTACCTCTCCGACACGTTCCTCGACGGCCTCGGCGAGGCGTACCAGCCCAACCTGGCGCATATCGACCTCTCTGGCTGCGAGGGTGTTTCCCCTGCTGCAGCAGTGCGCCTCGCCATTGCGCGTATCGAGAGCGGCCATCCGCTGCGACGCATCACGCTCAACGGCTGCCCGTGGGTCACTCCGGACCTTATCCCGTTGGTGCAAGACATCGGCCCGACCGTCGAATATTCGCAACGGATCGCCCCGATCATACCGCGAGGCTGGAGCAACTGGACCTTTGCACAGAGGTAAAATGGTCCGCATACCTCTTCTTATTCTCTATGGCAACTTGTGACTGTATCACATACGTACGAACCCCGTTCTGGACTCTCCGTCAAAGTCATGTATACAATAGTGGACTATTTTCGTGTAGAAATGACAAAGATAATTGATCTACAATGGACTCGACATTGACTGTGGTCATAAAGGCCACTGGCAGGTCACGGGGTGGGCGCGGCACGCGGATTTGGCGGACCCTGATTTCGCAGCTGTAAGGGTCCCTCTAAGACGCGGGCAGGCGAGGAGGCTGTGCTGGTGAACCCTAACTACGCTACATAAAAATTTTCAAATGGCCCAACTCAACATTGCAGCCTCCTTGGTGTAGTTGGTTTATCTCGTCGGTCTCATAGCTTGCCGCATGACTCTTTCCTGAAAGGGTAATCCGAAGGTCGCCAGTTCGATCCTGGCAGGGGGCAGATCGTTTTGATCGCGTTCTTTTGGGGGAAAACGGTCCAAATTTGACCCAGGTTTCGATCCTCGCACGAAGCACTAACTTGACTCCGCCCATCTCCTTCCTCGCCTTCCTCATCCCGTACAGCCTTTGCAACGCGTCTCTTATATATTACTGGTGTATAAGCGGGGATTTATCAATCATTCGAACATTTCCCGTCATTCAAAATCATGTTGTAAGACACACTTTGCATTACAGTACATGTGTGTGTGCCCGGACGAAAAAACGGAAACTGATGTCAGCGTTCCTAGGTCGACATAATTGGGGGTCGGCTGCCGTGGGGCTATCTACCCCGGAAAGCCCCGCTTCTCTGTTAGCGCGTCTAAGCGAATACCGGTCATTATCGCGATAACCGGTGCCACACTGCCCCCGACACGCTCTCGGTCATTCATACCAGCCGAAGGCTCCTTATCGCAAGCCAAACCCTGATGAACCCTATCCATGCGCTTGACGTCAACAGGAAGACCGCAGGGCATTGAGGTTTGCCTAGGAATCTAGCTATCACGGCGTCATCATTGGTTGTGGAGTGCTGGCGATATGCACATGCTCGTCTTCCCCTATCGTCTGACCAGCTCAGTCTGGACGCTCTCGTCTTCCTTATCATCTTGGCTTTAAAGGCTCCCTTCTCGTTTTACGCGAGCGTGCCTGTGCCTCCCGAACACCCCGGCGGACTCTGAGAAGGCTGAGATTCTGCCCACGATGGCCCCCGTTGAAACCAAAGAGGACATTGACCACCATAATCTGGACTTGGAGAAGATCGCAAGCAAGCAAGTCACCAGCGTTTTCAATCCTGGAGAGTATGGCATTGTCGATGATCATGATATGAACGACGATGAGGCGCGTTTGGTCGCACTAGGGTAAGCCATAGCGATCGAGCTTGCGATGATTGCTGACAAGATGGCGCTTCCAGCTATAAACAAGAATTCAGGTATTTTGAACAATCCATACAGGACCTTGGTCGAATGATTAACAGATTTCCTGCAGGCGCGAATTCTCCGTATGGACGTCCTTCGGAGTGTCCTTCTCCGTGCTGGGTCTCCTCCCCTCTATCGCTACGACACTCTGGTATGGGCTGGGATACTCGGGTACCGCCGGGATGACTTGGGGTACGGCTTATCCAGCGCGTTCACGAGCTTTACTGATGAGAATTGCAGGGTGGATTGTCGCGATGATCGGTATCCAGTGTGTTGCCCAAAGCATGGCCGAACTGGCATCGTCAATGCCTAGTGCGTTCATTTCTACGCACTCAGATTCAGCACTGACCATGTCACAACGCAGCCTCCGGCGGATTATACTACGCGGCTGCAGTCCTTGCGCCTGACGGCTGGGGGCCGCTCTGCTCCTGGATCACCGGATGGTCGAACTGGATAGGACAAGTCACTGGGGCGCCTAGTGTTGACTTCGGCTGTGCCCAGATGATCCTCGCTGCCGCTTCGATCCTGCATCCCGACTACGTTCCCCAGTCATGGCACACGTTCCTCCTCACGGTCTCCCTCCTAATTATCCACGGTGCCATTTCGTCCATGCCGACAAAGTACATTGCGCATTTCAACAGCGTGTCCACCTGGCTGAACATGTCGATCCTCCTCATCGTGGTTATCCTGATCCCCGCGGCAACTACAAATGCGAACCCTAGATTCAACTCATCGGCCGATGTATGGGGCGTCATCACGAACGGCACCGAGTGGCCGAATGGCATTGCCGTGCTCATGAGCTTCATCAGCGTCATTTGGACCATGTCAGGGTACGATGCGCCGTTCCATCTGAGCGAGGAATGCTCGAACGCTGCGGTCGCCTCGCCTCGTGCGATTGTTATGACCGCAGAGGTTGGCGGCGTGCTCGGGTTCATCTTGAACCTGGTCATTTCCTACACCGTCACGGATATCGAAGCTGTACTCACTTCGCCTCTGGGCCAGCCCTTTGTGGCCTATTGCTTGCAAGTCCTTACGGTTGAAGCCGCTCTGGCCGTCACCGCTTTGACCATCGTCTGCAGTTTCATGATGTGCGTCCCTACGACCAGCTAAAGCATATTTCCGTACTGACATCTGTCGCAGGGGTCAAGGGTGCATGGTCGCAGCCTCCCGTGTCACCTATGCCTACGCGCGTGACGGTGTATTCCCGTTGTCAGGGCCGATCTGGAGCAAGGTCAACAAGACCACCCTCACTCCCGTTAACGCCGTCTGGATGAACACGTCCATTGGCATCCTTCTCATGCTCCTGATCTTTGCCGGCCCTCTGGCTATCGGTGCCATCTTCTCCATCGGTGCCATTGGCGCCTATGTTGCATTCACTCTGCCTGTTACGCTCCGAACGTTTGTGGTTGGCAACCGTTTCCGCCCTGGTCCCTGGAACCTCGGTCGCTTCAGCTATGCTAGTGGTGTTGTGGCGACTTCCTTCACCCTTCTCATGATGCCCATTCTCTGTTTCCCTACCGTCAACGGGCCAGACTTGAACGCTCAGAGCATGAACTATACCTGCCTTGTGTGGGGTGGGCCGATGTTCCTCGCGATGGTCTGGTGGTTCGTGGATGCTCAGTACGTGATATAATGTTTTTGCGCAGGACAGCATCCTGACGTTTCTCTGCAGCAAATGGTTCAAGGGACCGCGTGTCAACGTGGAGCACAAAATGCTGCAAAAGGCGAACGACCTTGTACCCACTGGCACGCACTTTTCCGACACGGGCGATAGCAATGGCCACACGGTTGCGGAGGTGAAGGAGGAGTGAACGCACACTAGACTTTTCGAGCAATGTCAACCCCTGTCTTAAGTATCAATTGTAATCTCTCTGAATTATCGGACTAGCACGCCTGGGAAGAGTTAAGGTTCCAGCGCCGCGCGCTCTGAGACACTCGCACCTCGCGATGTGCCTCGATTGTTGATATGCGGGTGTTCTAGCCCTCTGCGACATGATAAAGGGGCACTGGAGGGACACGATGGTCCTCCCCGCGTCTTCCTTCTTACCACCACCATAGCGTAGCGTATCCCATTCAAACCCGCTTTTACAACCACCCACGTCCCATATGGATAACGAAACACGTGACCGCCAGAGTACGTCTTGTCCGGGCGATCCGCGTCCATATATACGCATGTACTCACCCCTTCTGCAGAGCGCAGGTATCCGAAGCCGTCGAGGACCTTCACGCCGCATACGACGGAGTACACCGAGTCCCTGCAGAAGTACATCGACAAAATGGAGCATTCTGCCCATACGCTGCAGGACTTTGCGGATGAGCAGGATGAATTCTTCCGGATGAGGTCGAGCCACCTCCTTCGTGGCAAGCAGATCGGAGACGTCGAGTCCATTTTCGATGTCCACGTCGGTGCGGTGAAGGACAGCGCAAAGCTTCGAGCCAAAGCTAAACGGTTCTTCGCTACCGCCAAGTCGCTTCGGGTGCACCTCGACCAAGAACTGCGCTGCACGGAGCGGCGCACACGTGAAGAGCACCATCCACCGTCTCGCTCGCCCGCCCGCGATCAGCAGCCCGTCGATCTATCGGCCTCCTCTACTTCAGCCGCCCAGCCTGCGCAGCAGGAGCCCCCCTCCACGACTCGTCGCTCGTCACGCCTGAGCGCGAAAAAGGCGCAGAAGTAGCCAGCAAGAGCACCAGGCAGTCGACAATTGTTCTTTCCCCCCGTGACGGGCTTGGTTATGATCACGTCAAGCGCGTGGCGGAACTGCACGAGAATGAGTGACGGAACATCCGTACGTGGTAGGACACCTGCCTGATGGATGATATCATCATCGATGTATGGTCCAATCATGGACACGAACATCATACATACAAAACCTGTGTAGCAGCTCTGGAAACGTATCCTATTACAAAAGAACGCCTACACATGGCGTAGGTACTCGGCGATGACGACAGCGTGGTCACGCTCATGGAGCTCAAGCGTCAGCTACTCCTTCGGCTTGAACTTCTCCTTCTGCAACTCGTTGACGTCGCGCGCGAATACGACCTCGGCGGGCTGGGTGGAGTCGACACAGTTGGCCTTGATGGATATGACGGCGTGGCCGTGGTTTCTAAGGAAATATATGTGCGTTAAGGGCGACGATACGCGCCTGGTCCGGCTGGGCGACATCGGCAAATATGACATCGACCATGGACAGGAGGAGACGGTAGTGCTGCGGTTGCCGGGCATCCTCGATGATTGCTGAAGAGTGTATGAGCATAGCGCCACGCAAGCGGGTGATAGACATACGGATGTCATTCGTCCTCTTCTTCGCCTCGGGATCATGTCACGACCAGATCGAGGCGAGAACTCAAGGGCCCAGACGACGCCAGTCTAGAAGGGAGTCAGGCATAGCATCATGCCAGGAGACGAGTGTTACGCACCGGTCCAACCACACCCACCACAAGACTCACACTGGTGCCGCTCGCAGCACCGAGTTAAAGCACCTTTGCGCCGGGCTTGATCCAAATGTTGTCCAGACCGCCAAGAACACCGGCAGGAAGCTTGGAGCGGAACGGGTCATGACGATAGCCTCGCCAGGGTCATACTCTTCCGAGGGTCGTATGGAGTATGAGACCGACGAGATCCACCTGACCCTCACAGGACCGGGCGCAAATGTGTGAAGGGGGCGCGCGGCGCCCCCATCACGAACCCTTGCTGAAACGCGCGAAAGGAGATTCCAGCGCCGTTCCAGCTGTTGCCCGCCTCCGTCCAGCCTAGGGCTTGTTCTAGCCGGAAGCGCATCTCCGCCAGCGACCTATCTCGTCTGTTCGACTCTTTCTGTGCGCCCCTCATAGGACCTCTAGCTCTAGATCTAGCAAACGGGAGAAGATGACCTAGATCATGTTCGAGACCTTCAACGCTTAGGCTTTCTACGTTGCCATTCAGGCTGTCCTCTCTCTCTATGCTCTCTCTATGCCTATGGCCGTGCGACCGGTATCATGCTTGACTCTGGCTTTGCTGCTCGCGGCTTGGACTCCTTGTCATCAATCGATCGATCGGCTTGGGGGTTGC